GAAGGTAACGTCGCTCAGTACACAACGCCTCAATTACGGAGTTAAATTAACACTGACCTCACATTGGACACTCTGGATATCGCGGCTGAACTTGATTACGAAGGTACTGATTCTTGGTGCGTGATAAAGGAAATACAATAGAATCACGCAGTACGTCAGTAAACGTTGCAATAACAGTTCATAGCGAGTATGATGCTTTTTTGTGTAAAAGCTCGCGTGTGTACGCGAGTCCCAGTTTTCTAAGTTAGTACAGTAAGTCACCGCCAAATCGATTAAATTTGCTTGTTTTGATCACAGCTTAACGTAGATTCTTAAAGAAAATTACATTTCTCCGTGATCGAAACAATTTCGCATCACAGTAACTAAAGACCGCAGTATTATAGTATATTTGAGAGAAAACGAACGATTTAAAATTGGCACGTTCAACCAATTACTTTAAAATTTAAATCAAATTATATAACGCTGATACATGTGTCATAAACTTTTTAGCATTGATACACAAAATAATTATAATATATCAATTTGAAATTTTTGAAAAATGTTTCACACAATGATTATTTAAGTTCTGATTCAAATATTTATTTCAAAAGAATAATAAAATGGGAACTAACATGCGCTTTCTTAGAATTTTTCAACAATAGGATTAAAAAAAAAAATCAATTTTTCTCGACATTAAAATCATAAAAATTTCACCACAATGTCTTGCTTTAATATTCAATAAAATAATTCGATAACTCCAGTTTCGATATTCTCGCGACTCAAGTTACTTCACCAAATTATTCAAATAATTTCAGAATCTTTCTTTAATTTTTGTTGTAAAATAAGCTTTGCTGATAAATTTTAATTTGTGTTATAAAATGTTATAAAAAGTTGCTGTTATAAAATGATAAATAATCTATTTTCGCATGGTTATAGTTAGGCAATAAATTTTTATGTATTTTGACGAAACCTATCTATGCGTAAATTCATTAGTATAATTCCAAGTAAAACAAGAAGCCGATCAATATTTCAAAACGAAAGAACAAACCTTGGCCTTGACGCAACGCCATCAGTCATTGCTAATTGGTTTACTTCATCAAATATCATTTCACAATTAATTAATTACGCGATGACGTCAATAAAGGCGTGTCATTGTTTAATAAAATGAATATGTAGTACTCTGGAAAATTATAACTAACATTAATCAGTTTCGCAAAGATAATTATTCCTAGAAATTTTTTTTCAGAAAATCCATATACATGCGTCTGAGAAATTGAAACATTGAGAAGTAAATAGTTTATTTGTAAAATTAAAGCTATATATTGACTAGCAATTTTAATATCTTAAAAGTTTTATATACGTTAAATTTGACGATAATGTAATAATTGATTTAATTTAAGAGCCGGATATATATATATATAATTATTTTGTTTTAATTAATCCTCTCTGCATATTGCAAGTTGACGGCAGACTTACTGGATTTTAAATTCCTCACGTTTTCAAGCGACAGCAAAACGAGTTTTCTAAAAGTCTGCAAATGGATCTACCGAGCGCGAGAAAACGGACGACGTATTTCTCACTTATCGCTCTAATGTAATGTTGTTTTATGCAAAGAAATGTCGTGACGCTAGCATGTGCTTTACCCAGGCAAATACGTTATTCATATCCATACGTTCATTTGAACCTTATTCTTTGCAATCATATTATCGCTCAATTATCAAAAAATTATTAAATTTAATATTTCTCTTAGCTTTAAAATATATTCTTATATTTAATACATGTAAATAAAAAAGGTTAAATAATAATACAACTAATAAAAAAGATACAAACATCTATAGAATAAGATACTAAATGTAAAAATGTGTATTGAGATTATTCATATTTTTAAATATTTAGTTAGATCTAATATTGATAAAGTTTAAAAGATATGTGTTTCTTTAACTGTTAATTTTTGACCGCATAAATATTGGTTATCAATCATCGTAAAGAATAAGTTTGCAAAAAGATCGATCATTGTCAAATTGATCTTCGACTGCGTGATTGAACGAGAATTTTCAGTGTGTTTGTGAACGTCACAAACTAATGATCGACTTAAGAATAAAATATTCTTTGCATCTTTATTCGAAATGAATAGAATCCTTACAGAAAATATGCGAGTTAATCTTTTTACGAGTGTATTATAAAAAAATAACTATTTTTAAAAAATATGATATCAAATTCAAAGATGCATTGTGACTAAAAATATACGCGAATCATATTTTATTCGTGAAAAATAATAATATATTTAATAGTTTATAACATTAATGTATAATGATGTCAGTTCATATAATCAATTTTATGAAATAAAAGATTTAATGATAAACAATAAAATGTTGCGAAAATGCTTTCTTACACGATAAATTTTCTTTTTTCTCGTATACTTTTTCTGCAAATCTTTTATCTGTATCCGAGAATTATATTTTTCTTTCTGTTCTTCACTTGTCCACTACATCGCCTTCGTTAATTATGTCAAAAGCGCGCTCGAAAATCGATATTAATTATCATGCGACGATTAAAGATGTATTATTACAGATAAATTGTGTTTGAACGCTTTTAACAATTTAAGAATAAAGGCAGAATTTAATAGTGTATAATGAACGAAGAAGAAATCTAAGAATAACATATTATTTTATAGCTACCTTTTAAATAATGTAAAATATTCTAAAAATAAAAATTCACGGTTGTGTTGCTTATATAACTGACAGAACTTATAATCATTTTTTATCTGATAAATAATACTTTTCAAAAACATTGTTATAGAATGTGTTTTTTAATTCATGTTAGTTGATTATTTGTTAATATTGATAAATATATTAAATGTATTAGAAGCGACTTCTAAGGCCGCAACTAAATGTATATGTTATGATTTAGTTTTATTGCACTTTAGCATTACATTAACAGTTACATTTCAGTCATATTTTTCGGCCATTTTCAGTGTTTCACCACTAACATGCATAAAATAAAAGTAATTCTTAATCTTTATATTTGTGGTGCCGCTTTTACTTAAGTTTCTTACATGTAAATAATCTTTATGTTCCTTTATGTTGTCATGTCTTTTTCATAACAGAGTAGAGATTATATTTCATTTGCAGAAGACAGATTTTTTAAAAAATTGTCTGAGTTTTAGAATGGTGAGACATTTCCTGTACTAGCAATTGTTATTATTTAATAGTTATTAGTTGCTGTCCTGCCTTTGTCCAAACTAGTAACTACTGTATAATAACAATTATTAGCATGAAGAAATATTATTTATAAAATCAGACAATTTAAAAAAAATCTGATTTTCGCAAACAGAATACAATCTTCATTTTGTTATAGAAAAAAAAAATACATGATAATATAAGAGGACATAAAGATTATTGATATGTAAGGAAATTAAAATAAAAGTGATATGAATATAAATATGAAAATGAATATAAAAATTAGGAATTAGTTTTATTTTGTGCATGTTAGCGGTGATTAGATATTGAAGATGGTCAAAAAATATGACTGAAATGTTTGTTAGTTGTTAATATAATGCTAAAATGTACTAAAACTAAATCATAGCAAATACATCTAACCATGGCTTTAGAGTCCCTTCTAATACATTTTATTTATTCTCAGCAAACACTAACCAACAATAACATAACATTAATGTTATCATTTCCCACTCAACAACACATTACTGTAATATAACATGTCTTGTATATAACCATTATATTGTTAAGTGGAAAATTACAACATTGATGTTATTATGTTACTATTGGTTAGTATTTGCTGGGTTATTGTTAAAAAAAAAGCCTATTAATTATTTGATGGATTAATGTGTTTAAAACATAACCTTACCTTTTGATGCTACTTGTTTTCAATATTAAAGGTTTCTTTTGGATAAAGTTAGTTGTTAGTTGTTTGTATTACTTGACTTTTGCGATAGAAACTTTCTGTAATGTTATTAAATTTTTAGCTGTATATGCACGTCATGCTAAAATTTAGAATTCTGCAAAATTTTGCGGTCTAAGTTTTCAATGTAATTTTGAGAAATAATTAATTGATTTTAATATTTGATCACACAACGAAAACTTTAGCTTTTAGCATATTTGTTGGTATTTTATTGAAAAAAATGTTGCAGTAATATTTGTCTAAATGATTGCAAAGTGGCTGCGTATAAAACTTCAGGAATTCTGCCGTATAGCTTTTTTATTGTGAAGCATTAGAGATTATAAATAAGTGTAACGAAAATGAACGAGAAACTTTATATCTAGCACTCACTTTTCGTAGCATCCATCGAAGAAATCGATATTTACCATTTTTTAATCTCAGCAGCTGTATTTTGGATTTTTGGTCCAAATCCATACTTAAATTTCTTCTCCTTTCACACGCGATGACAATCACAAGACAACTCAATCGCTACGCCTAAATGTTTGATATGTAGATATATCAAATACAAATTATATGTGTCGACATCTTTTCTGTACCTACGTACTATGATGTCGTTCTAGCCGTTTCCGCTGTTAGGGCGCATCGATCGTGCCAATCATTGAATACCCCCCACCGAGTTGCCGGAACGTCATATTGACTTTTGATCCATACACAAATATGTTGATCGTCATGTGTCTCATCGTATTATCCTCCGAATTTAGGCAGATTTACGGCACTGCGATGACCGAAATGTATCATATTCGTAAGTACACATGCTTTAGATAACATAGTATTCGAGAGCGAGCATGTAGCAAATGCAATTCTGCGAAATTTCGACGGATGAAAAACATCCTCAAGCCACGACTATTATATCGCGATATTCAAGATTCGCCAAAATGTACACGAAGTTTGTTCGAACACAATCGATTCTCTCCGCCAATCATCGCATTTCCCTCTAAACGGGATCGCCATATTGAGCTTGATCTATGTACGAGTGTGTCGATCGTCGTATATTCTCTTCCGAATTTAAGCGGATTTACGGCGAAGCGGTGATCGAAATGTATCATATTCGTAAGTGCACATGCTTTAGATAACGTAGCATTCAAGAGCGAGCAAGTAGTAAACGCGATTGTGCGAAATTTCGACGGATGAAAAACATTTTGGAGCTGCGACCACATCGCGACATTCACGATTCGCCAAAATGTACATGAAGTTTGTTTGAACGCGATCGATTCTCTCCGCCAATCATCGCATTTCCCTCCAAATGGGATCGCCATATTAAACTTGACCTATGTACGAGTGTGTCGATCGTCGTATATTCTCTTCCGAATTTAGGCAGACTTATGGCACGGCGGTAACCGAGATACATCATATTCGTGAGTATTTATGCTTCCGATAACGTAGCATTCGAGAGTGAACGAGTGTCAACGCGAGTGATTGAAATTTCGACGGATGAAAAACATCCGCGAGCCACGTTCGTTGATCAAAATCCACCGAAATATATGCGAAATTTGTTCAAACGCAATCGATCATATCCATCAATCATCGTATTTCTCTCTTCTCTCTCTTTCTGATCGGGATCGCTATATTGGGTATTGAATGTGTGATTGTTGTATATTCTCTTCCGAATTTAGGTGAATTTACAAAACGGCGGTAACTGAAATACATCATTTTCGTAAGTATCCGTGCTTTAGATAATATATCATATGAACGCGAGTAAAGCACGAATATGATTGTGCGGAATTTTGATGGATGAAAAACATTTTGGAGCCGAGACGGTCCCGAACTCCGTATATTCTCTGAAGTATGCGTGAGGCGCGCGCGTAGTTGATCGTATCAGTTGTCGTCCTGATTGCATTTCGCGCCAAATTGCTCGCATTTTTATTTAGTCATCGTCTGTGAGTTCTTATCAATATATCGCGCGTGATATTTCATATTTTGGCGACTTTTCGGTAGCAGAAATATACGATACACGAGAATGACCGTATTGCGAAAGCGATCGTAATAAAATTTTTTATGAATCCTAATTATATATACGGAATTCAGTACAAATATCTACATTCAAGTATCAAACTATTAAACAAAAAATAAGAACGATTAACTGTTGTTCGTCGTAAGATGATTAATTATTGTTTGTTGTAACATTTTACAGGACCTTCAAGTCGAGTAATGTATTTAGAAGAAAATAACGAGTAGAAAATCCGTCACCACAATCCAACACGTGGAAGTTTGCGTTCTGGAGTGAAAAATCATGAAGACAAGTAGTGAACTACACTTTTCGTAATCGTCTTGCATTAGTTGTGTGAGTGTGTGAAGAGGAACTTGGATGAACACGGATTGAGAATCGAGGATCATGCTGCGGTCACCGAGCTCAGAGAGCGGTGAATCCTAATTTGCTGACACACTGGATGCTGTGATATAGATGTATCTGGTTGGAAGCTGCAAACGGTGAGTCCTAGATATTAAATTCCATTTTTTTTAAAAGCATTTTTTTATATTTTCTATGTACTGCATATTTAAAAGATTTATTATTTCTCAAAATACATATACAGCAAGCATCTTACTATGATTATTTTTTGTGAATGAATAAATTTAAACAGAATTTTCCGCAGATATTTTTTAAATTAAAAATTTATCTTGATTGCAATTATGATTTTATCCTAAACGTATGTCAATTTCATAATTTAATCACTTCTCTAACACAATATTCATAATCTCTATAAATGCGCATGCAGATGAAAAGAGTAATTATACTTCATCAATAAACTGTAGAGAAATATAATTGCAACAAAAATGGCTACGTGTGCTATAATCAATGTTGCAATGTTGCAACTTGTAATCGAGACGATATAATTTGAAATATGTAAAGTAATGTTTGTCATTTCCAGATATAAAGAATGAAATTAATTAATATGTCATCTAGTGACAAATTTCACAGAAAAGTTACATACTGAATTTAAACGTATCTCTTATTTTTTGTTGCATAGTAGTAATAATTAAATCATCATTTTTACATGATTTTGAGAGATTTGAAATTTATTTAATATTGATTACAAGTTATAGAAATGATCTAATACAATTCTAGGCGTGACACATATCAAAATTGCATTATGAAAGTCAATTATTTGGAAATTATTACAATTATTTTTTATCTGATGAATAATATTTAATATTTTTAAAAAATGTTGATTAAAAAATTAACAATTTCAAATTTTTTGATAATGATTTTTTGAATAATTATCATCAGTATTATATAACTTTTTTATATGTTTTATCATAAGTTTCATATGTTTTTATCTTAAAATCGTTTCCTTAAAATTTGACATTTAGAATCATATCTACTGTGCTTTAATATAATTTATGATATTTTGTATTAGATTATTTCTATTATTACTTTTTTCTATATATTGCATAATTTTTATCGTACATTGATATTCACTTGTGCAAATATTGTTTTTTATATCTGTTTTCTACAATACCATGTTTGCCTTTGCTAATATTCTATATATAGATAAATATATAGCATTTATCTATGCTATATATTCTTCTGATATTAATTCTATATTTTAACGTTTACATATTATTTCGCGTATGAGAGAAAACGAGCGGTGGATATAGTAAATTATTACAAACATGCGCTTGCGTGTTGTTATTTCAGTAGTAGCTCTTTCCCGTTTATATTTACCGCTGTATATATCTTAATGCTGTCACACAGCATGATGACGTTCTTTCACATTGCCGGATTTTGCGTAGATTTGTTGGACATATTTTTACGAGAAAATTGCGAGCGTGATTTACAGATTAAACGATTCAGTGTGCACATATCTTGTATTTTGCCTGGTGGTGACATCCCACTTTTTCTATTTTTTCACTTATGGATTTATTAATAAATATGCCATGAATTTTACTTTGAACAAAACGTTTTAAATATTTCTCATAATAATTTTAAACATAAAATCTTTCATTACATTTTGATGAAAATAATCAAATTTTTAATATTGTCTGAAAAATAAGATTTGCATAATTTATCAAAAAATTCTTTCGCTTACATTTATTTATGAGCTAATAAATATTATATAGTATTTTTCCGCTGTATAATTGCGATATTTTTTGAACGCATCATAGTTATTTTTGTGAGCCGCTCAAGTAGTACGTACCGAAATTGTTGCGTAATGATAATGAGGATTGCCAATGAGCACGCTTTTTCTCTTTTCTCCATTTCTCTCTGTCTTCTTCGGTGCATTAGGATGCTTGATGCATTAGGAAAGATCGTATTACGGCAGTGCGAAGTACCACTTCTTTTCGTCATCTCGTTTCACTAATATTTCAACAGCGATGCGGATATACCAGAATGCATTCGAGAATACATATAATTCTCGTGTCCATCGAATAACTTGTCTTTTAAAATCGCGGAACGTACACATGGGGATCGAGGGCTTGTCGCATGACGGAAGTGCGTCAATATTTTCCGTGCACTTGTGTGCGGATCGATTTGTGCGGTACCGTGAAAAATTCATCGCGTTGCACGTCGTCGGAACGGGCGCACGAGTGCGCGTATCCGCGTAATTTAATCACGCGTGTGCGATTGGCAGACGAAGCGCGCGACGTGTATATGACGGCGCGGCGATGTGTGTCGTTTTATTGAATTTAGACCTTGCTACCGCGTAATGTTGCAGATCGCGTAATGGTTCCAGTGGAAAATTTCAAATTTATCGATTAACAATGTGAATTTTTTCGCTACAGGTAATAGATCGTGATAATTTCTTATTTATACGATTATTTCGCGAGAGCGTGCTGTAATTTATTGTGAAATGCGATTTATTAACGGTAGATCACTATCTGCCGAAACTTTTCCGCCCGTTTATTTGTTTAATTGGCTTTTCTATCGAGCGATCGAATGATCGAAGTCACTAAGACTCTTAATTGGCATATTGATTTTTTACGATAACGAGTGAAACGATTTAATTGAACCTTTTGGTTCTCGAACAGAATGGATTCGCTATGTGTGAATGACATTACGATTTTAACTTACGAATATTTTATTACGTGTTTACTATTTGGATGGTTGGTATTATGCTTTATTTAAAAAATGAGTTTATAATAAAACTGTACAAAAGAAATTCAAAAGTATATGGAAACAATATTTCTATTGCTTTTTTTCTTAAATAACGATTCAGCTACAGAAAATACACAATGATAATTGGATAATTATTATGCAATAATTAAGTATTAAAAATTTATTATGTAAGTTTGTAAAATAGTGACGGTAGGAAGATATTCTCTTGCATAATGAACTCTTTTTATTGCAATCTGAAAGGATGCTCGTCTTTCACAATTTATTCGTCAACATCCTAGCGTAACTAATTAATGTTCATGCAACTTTAATTATTCACGTTTGGAGAATAATCGCATAGCCGTCGTTTTTATTTTATCACTGTTAAACTAGATCATGATAATGTTGTGTCATTGATATTAAGCAAAGGTGGTCGGATGTGTGTGTGTGTGTGTGTGTGTGTGTGTTAAGAGCATATAATTAATTGTTTCATTATCTCCATTACATACGAATGAGGACCATGCGAAACCATATTACGATATAGTTGTATCGTTCTAAGTGCCAAATCGAATATACAACTAACGTAACACCGCGAAGAATTTTACTGCTCTGTGAAATAATTATGATATAATTTATTCATATCCATTTTATTTGCCTTTTGTAAGTTTTTATATCCGAGAAGTTCGATAATTGATAATAAAGTTTGAATTAATTTATCAGTTGAACGCAGCGGAGATATTAATCATGGATTTATCGAGTTCATGGATTTATCGCCGTAAGTAATCCATTGATTGATTATTTAATTTATTGATCGCGGTAGAATTTTTCTAATTCTCGATTAATTTATTCAGAACGGTTACTACGAAGAAGTCGGCTGTTTTTTTAAACACATTTTCATTTCAGACGTGATCACTTTTAACTGTTGTTTATTCACTCAGGAGTTTTTAATTTACTTTTGCAATATTTTTATACAATCTTATCAAGTGTGACGCGACAGCAGACTGTCATTTTGATTCATTTCATTCGATTTCTACCGAGCTTTTTACTTGTTTCAAAGTTGGAAGATCAACGTAATTTAACTGATTTATCTTCTTTCTTTCTTCTTTTTCCGGAAACGAATAGGTCGCTTGATAGCATCTTAATCGTATATGGAATAATGTTAAAATAATACATGACCGGCAATAGATCATAGCTATCGTTGCAGCTAATTGCGCGTTCTCAGATAAACGTTCTTTACGACGTACGAGCATGCGATTGTTAAGGTTAATTCTAAATATCAACCTCTTTATCCGTATATGAGATAATTCCGATTTACGATAAGATATCGTGATCTTCAAAATAAAACGAGATCGATAACATGAGCTATTATTTATTGATCGTGTTCAAGGTTTTACTCGAGAAAAGTGCAATGGTTGTATATAAAAATATTTTTATTCTAGAGACAAAACTTAATTTATTTTATTAAAAATAAATTATATATTTATATAACAATAAAATTGATTATTGTTATTTGATCAAAATAGAAGAAAACTCGCTGTATCTACAATTTTGAAAATTACTAATTACTAAGTTAAAAAATGTAGACTTATAAGTCAATGATTTAAAACTGAAAAATAATATAGTATTAAAATTATACATACGCATTCTCATCTTTTCTCATCGTGATTGTCTTATGATAAATTAACTTTTTCTTGATATTTTGTAATTTGAGAAATAATTAAAATTGTAATATGCCGGATTAAGCGCACGCAATTTTTTCTCATATTGACATCAATATTCCCCAAGCAACGATAATCGCCATTCAACACATCTCGTGTATAAAGAGTAGGTCAGATGAGCAAACGGCTCCACCAAATCTCTGTTGTTTCTCGTAAACCGCTTAGCGCTGCTATTGTGTTACCGCGTTTGCAGCTGTCACGATCACGCGTCTGACATAGTTGAGAACAATACCACATTACATATCAAGTGGTCCGTTTCAGTTGTCAGTTTTAGTATCGGCAGTTATTGATATTATTCGTCGATCGCATTATTTTTCGGCACTCTATTTTTTTTCCTCGAAAGTCTGAATATACATTCAAAATAACTTGATGTCCTTGCAATGCCATATTCTTGAGCGAATTCTGAGACGATTTTTCCTTTTATAAAATTTTGTCCGAAGCTTAGTTTTCGAGTTATAATTGAAAATAGGTAGCTACTTACGAGTTCGGTACAACGGGCAGGCAGGGACGCGCAACGTATAATGAGACTGTCAAGTGTTTATTATCGTCTCATGACGCATTGCACCCTCCCTGCCTGTCCGTTGTATCGGACTCGTAACTAGCAAACTATTTTCAATTAGAACTCGAAAACTAAGCTTCAGATAAAATTTTATAAAAGGAAAAATCGTCTCAGAACTCGCTCAAGAATATGGCATTGCAAGGACATCAGGTTATTTTGAATCACCCTGTATAGCTTTTTCGTTCAAAACAAAAAATGGCGATTGCATTCAAATATTTAGCGATATCGTTGCAACTGCAGCAGGTATGTCAATGCGTTGAAAACCTTGTTACGCATGTTTATTGTGTATAGAAAAATGTATAGAGTTGTCATACAAGATATTTCTTTTTGGATTATCACCGCGATGTAAAAGTCGATCTTTATATTTATAAATATTCATAAAGTGCTTAGTGCTAATTATTATAGCATAACTTTACTCGTTGAAATTCGGGAAGCGCGAAAAAAAAAACACGTAGATCCAAGAATAAAAAAGTTTTCACTTCTTACGGGAATTTGTTAATCTTAGATATATTCGTCAAAATATAGAGATTTGCTTACTCTAATGTTTTCGTTGCAAATTTTGCACCAAACTTATTTTATATTCCACTTCTGGTCACTTGTTCAGTACGACGTATTTAAACGTAAGCGCAAAGCCGGAATTAGACGAACACTTAAGGCTAAATCTGCGAGAACATTACGAATTGCTATCTTAGCGTATTAATAACCATGCTATAGTAATTAGGACAACTAGGTAATCACTGTGATATATCGAATGGTGTCGAGATTAACTTCGATGCAATTAGAAATAACTTGTTACATCATAACTTTCAGTGAAACATATATAGAACATATTTATTCAGAATTCACGCGCGAAACAAATTCTTATAAAATTGTGAATCGTATTCAACTTAGCACGTGATAAAACCATAGCAACGAGTACGAAGGGACCAATAATTAGTATCCTTTTTTTTCCATATCATTTGTCAGTCGATATGAGAAAATGAAAGAATTTATCGATATGAAAAAATGAAAGAAATTTTCGATTGAAGTTAATTATATGAAAAATCGGGATTAACAATTGTTAAAATTAAATCTTGTAGAAAGTGTCTTTTGTGTATTATTCACTGAATGATATATATTTTTATTATTTAGGCGTCATTAATAGATAGAAAATCATGTGCAATTTATATCATCTTATTCGATATATTGTGACAATGTATAATGCAATAATAAAGTCAAGTGTATTTTCAGCGACTGTCTTGGAAACTGCGCACTTCTAACATTAACATTTAAATGTAAGCGCATAAATATTAATCTACTGCTAAATTGAATACAACTCACAACTTACTCGCGCCGGAAGGAATAACATATAAAAGTACTCACCAAACAATTTGTCATTCTCCGCGTGTGTGCTGCGTTGAATTGATCTTTCCACTTGTCTCGACTTTTTCACGCCGTCACGCTATCCGGAGATGTTGACTTGCCAATTCGCAAAGATTTGCTTTCCGCCGTTGTATTGCGTAACTTGTCAACTGTCAGATGACATCTATTCGTAGTGAAAACAATGACCGGTCCGCAGGAACTCACCATGCCGGGTAGTGTCCGTCATGAGGGGCGTCGGAACGCTTAATGTGCCACGCAGGCCGATGATACACCTGTTTATATCGCGATGATAAGCGCTCGCGATCATGCATAACGCGTCGCGGATAATGGGAACTTAATCATCTATCAATTGTCATTTATCTGCCATGGCGCCTCTGCGTCTTAATTTATCATGATTATTTATGTTTTAAACAGTCTTAAATCAGAATAGAATCCACATCGTTCTGCAAAGCACTATATAAATGTAGGTAATTTAATTATTTAGAAAATATACAAGACCGTTTTAGAAACTTTGCACACATTTCAAAATTTCTGGTTATTCTTTTTGACACAAAAATGTAAAAAAAATACAGTTAAAAGTATTAGATTTTTAATATTATAAATGACTTTTTGATTTGATGAATTTTTAAAATATGAAGATAAATCTTTTCTCTCAAAATGATCGTTACTGAATGCTATCACATTTTTGAAATTTATAATAACTTTTGCTGAATAAAAATGAATAAAAAAATTCCTCGAGTATTTTATATCTCGTGATGACATTCGTCGTTGCACACTGCATCACGTAAACATCAATATTTTTGTATTTATTCTTTGAATCGTTATCTACCGTAGTACAAATCATTGTTTACCCAGATATTTCTGCCTAGTCAAGATTAATGGGAATTTTATTTAATTCTACGGAGATATAATAACTTCCTTCGTGATTTATAAACTAATCCCTCAAATTGATTCAAATCAGCAACAAGTTTTGGACCGCGTATCGAAAATTACATGTTAATTCTCACAGAAAAATTTACACCGTACTTGTTCTCGTTCTGGCCAACGTTCCCCATTACACGTGTAACATCTCGGAAAACTTGCAGTGTGCCGGACTGTCCGGAACTACTCGAGTACGTTTCGCGCGTCCGGCAACGGTCGCCGTTTCAACGCGACTGCCTTCCTGAGATATATCAGCTCTATCGTCGGATCTTACGCATGTCCGTCCGATTTCCGCGACTCCCTCCTTCTCTCACTCGCGCGCACACCCGGTCGTTTCATCGAGCTTTCCTCGTTTCACCCGCGTACCCTTCTTGTCGGCACGAGTGCGCCTGTCGGCTCGTTTGTCTCCCCACCAACTGTTGCTTTCGGGGATATGCACCCTCGTGCAATTAACCTTCAATATTAGAAAAAATTAAATTTCTGTATTTGATTTGATTGTTCACTGTTTGCAGAAATGTGTTCGTAAATTTCTGTTTGTACATTTTTAATTAAAAAATTATTTTAAAAATTGATAAAAAATTACAAAATTTTTTGAATTAAATCTGTCAATTAAATTGATATTGTTTTAATTGTAAATCAGTTTTTATATTTGCTTTTATCTTGAGTCTTCTCGAATCTTAGAAATTTAGAATTGATACTTTTTTCTATGCAGATAACTTATCGTTTATAACAGTTTTAATAATTATTAAGATATATGTGTGTGTATTTCGCGGATTTAAAAACTCGAAAATATATCAATTATTTTGTGTTAAATACGAAAATGTACCAATTGTTTGTATTTTAATTATTTGAAATATTCAGATGAAATATTGTGGATATACAATATAAATTTAAATTTGTGCGTGATCTTACAATGTTACTTGGATTACATATTCCTATTGGTCTTTTCCCCTTCTCTGATAAAAATAGATATGTGGATCGTTGACACTCTTCTATAACATTTTCTATTAGTTAGTTAGCCTTGAGATGCAAGGGGACGTAGAATTGCTGCTGATAACTGTATGATGATGTGTGTAGTGCGATTTCAGTCGATTATCTAAATAAACTCAATATACTTTCATTAATGTGATAAACAGCGTCATATTACTATGAGATGCGAATCTCTATAATCTTAATTTGATGAAAACTGCGAAAAGTAATAATCATTGGTATCTAAAAATGAATGTCTTTTTACGGGATTAAATCAGTGCACATTATCGTTATCGCTGATATTGATTCTTTATTCGAATAATGTGTGAAGGCTTCTTTTTTCAATTTCACAAAGTGCTCTACCCAGAGAAAAGTGTTTTTGCTCATCAATTTTGATTGCTAAAAAGATCAAAGATTAATGACGATCTTTATTTGCAAACATATTGTTTGAGTTTTATTTCAAGTTAATTTCATTTATAAGTTTAATTAATTTTTATAAATATTGGAAAATTGTGGTTTATTTTAATATAAAGAAAATTTAAAATTATAATTTTCTTTGAATGTAAAATATCTAAAACAAATTTGTATTCTTACAATTTAATACAAAAGTTTGTTGATATTATTGCTCTTGTATTAAAAGTGTTTATGTTTTTCTAGTCTAAAATACCAAATAATAGTCTAAAACATACGTGCGTATTTTTATCGCATTTAAATTTTTTTATCCGAGTAGCGTATACGATAACGAGGTATCAATTTAGAAAAAGATTTTTTCAAGAGCTTTATTGAAACATTTTCATCGAACTTTATTGAATACGATAAAACTTGATAATCTCAGTATATCTCGCGAGATTATAATTTTGATGACACACGAAATGTTTCATTACATAACACCTCGATATAAATATTATGCAATTATTGTGTTAGCGATAAACGTGATTTTTCGTATTCCATTGTATGCTATGTATTCCTAAACTACATTATCGTGGTTACCATCGTGCACGACAGAAGTTTGTAGATTTGTTTAAAGTACAGTATTCGTAATCAAAGTTACGGTCAGAGTTTCAACGATAGATCATATGCATACTATATGTATTCGCACGAATTATACCGCAAACTCGGAATTTAAACGTCACTTACCGTGGTCCGCACGCATGCTGTGGCACCACGCAAGCTTGTCAACTATTTATTTACGATGCTGACCGTTTAATGAAAGTGCACAGCAGTTGTTGGCTCAGCATTGTTTCCCTTGCGTTCGCCCTCATTTCGCCGTGGTATACACATCATGGAATAGCTGCGAATATTTCCCATTGTATAAGTCTTAAGTGATACAATATTTACGAAGACGTGAAATTGCTATTCCATCAGTAATTAATTTTTACGATATGGTAGTTGCTCACCTTGGGACGTACAAAAGCGTCTGGATTACACGTCGCGTCCATTCTCGATAGTAAAATACAGAGATCAATAATGGACACGATACAATCAATTAACGTGTTTATATCTTGTTATATTGAGCTTTAAAATTTCAAATTGTTTTAAAAGGTTAATTGTTTATTCAGATTTATTCAGCGATTTAATGACAAGTTATGCATTTCAATAGATGAAAGCGAGTATCGAGGAAATAAATTATTTTTTTAATTTATTCTTATTCACGAACAGGTAAATTTCCGTAGAAATTAACCGTAATACTATTATAACATAAAATTTTTACGAGCAATTTGAGATATTTGCAGATATAAAACCATAATATTATAAATATTTATTAAATTTCATATAATTGTTGTACAATTGCAAAGATCTTACTCGATAAAATTATGATGCCGCATGCGCATTGTCATTAAATTATCTTAATTAACGATTAATAAAAAAACATCAACATTAATTCTGCTATCACATACTACTTTCCAACTAATAATAATCCTAACCGATGGTAGCGACGCATATTGCGTTTGACGTGACTGTATACTGTATACGGTATACGGTATAACAATAAACTGCTAACGATATATACGATGTTCTGGCAAACTACTTGCATGCCAGATTTTGCTTTGTACATTACTCCATTATACTTCAGGGACGCGAAAGCTGAAATGAAAGTGGCTCGTACACACCTTAATTGTTACCAAAGATTTATATTTTTGGCAATCTGAGTAATTGAACATAAGAGATTTGAATATTCTAAAAATTTCCTAACAAAATATTTTAATTTAAAATTTTTTATAAGTAATATATAAATTTATAACTACTTTTTTTATAATAATTGTATTATCCTTTAAAAAAACCAACAAAAAGAGGAACAAGAATAATATTAATACTGCCGTACATGGTGCTCTTGAATCTGTAACATTTTATATATCTTAATGTTATTATGATAATGATAAATTCAAGAAAAATCATATTTTGTCTTTGCAATAATTTGAAAAATATCTGAAAACTTATAAATGATATTTATATTTATAAGAATTATTTATAAATTAATTATTTTATTACTAAATTATTTTTTCGTATTATTACTATACTATTTATTTATATGAACCAGAATAGAAACAGTATGCAGTTGTTAAGTATAAAAGTCTTTGCAATTTTTAATTTTAATTTATATGGCTTTTGAGGTATTCACGGAACTTATTTTGCATCATATAAAATGACCAACCGATGAAAATTGATGCGCGATATATGGCGATATAAAACGTTAAAAGGGAGTGCCATGTATCGTTAGAGTGCTTTACCCTGTATAACAGTTTTATAAAAGAATGGCGAGCCATTTTGGTGACAGTTTTCCCTACTGTAAAATCATCTCGCACTTTTTTTTTGTGCGGGTCGATCGAAGACGAATGACCGATGTTGATTTTGCAATGTACGCATTGGACGCCATCGCCATTCAAGGTTGTAATACTTTCGCTCGCTTTATCAACGGATTAGAGATGCGCCAGGGCTCAACGAGCGATTCGATGAATTAAACATAGTACCTCTTTCACTGATGCACTCGCGGCAGGTGATGCGAAACCTCACGATACCTCTGCGCAGAATCACGCCAGATTTCTAAGCGGATGCTAACGAGATGAGCTACCGCAGCTTGAAACACACGAATCGTATGCACGGGAATCGTAGCGTGAATTTCTTACCCTTTAACGAACAGTGCGCATTTAATTTATCTAAGTAGACCTGCAACAAGTTTGAATTAATCTTGAATAAAGCTTTCAGTAATAATTATTAACTTAAAGGACATAAACGAAAGGAAATCGATAACACGATCCACCACACATAAAACTATGGTTCCTCGGCAAGACAATAGATCATCGAAGGCGAGTATCAGGCAAAGTAGTCAAAAACCTTGGAATCGTTATCGATATTACGTAATAGAGAGAATTTTAAACTGACACAATTCCATTCGTCGCGTTTCACAAGTATCGTCCATTCGATTGCGTCGTACGTCGACTTTGATGTATTCGACCGTGATTATGTTGTAGTCCGTTACACCTTGAATAACGATACTCTTCGGGCATTCAAACATATTAAGCTCGTGTTACTATACTCTCCTAATTGCGCGGCCCGAATGTCTTGGCGATGTGTCTCGATTGCGCTTTCTCGTCAGGGTATCAGTAGATGTGTGATGTCTCCAAACTCGTACTCCCCTACGAGAGTACGAAAGAGATCCCTCATGGTTAGGTGATGGATCGTCTCGTTCACGTGGCCCGCCACGTAATCCTGAATTACCGGCAATATATCCGGTTTAATGATGTCTATTGCCTCCGGTGTTAATTCCTCAAAGACCTGCGAATCGACAGATTAATCTATGATCATAACTGATGATAGATTTCGTATCGCGAGATGCTTCAATTTTGAAAACAAAATTTTCAAAAATTTCGAAAAAATTACCTTATACATTTGTAAGAAAAAATTGTTTATCTTTATGCAGGCTAAACGTATTTTATATTCATTTTTTAAATGAATTCAAAATGTATCTAAATTGTCGAAAGACATCGGAAAAAGATTATAAGTTGTAAAATTAACTCGGAGATGTATCGAATGAAATTTATTCTGCAGGAATGTTATTTCGTTGAAACTTCGCGTTGGAATATTGATTTTGAATTATTCAATCTGAAATTCGAGTGTGCAGAAAATTAAAGATATCACGTTATAATTAAATGTATTGCAATTTTTTATTGCTAAGCTACCAGCAAATTATTAATTGTTTTATTAATGAATTTTTAACGTAACCGAGTGTTTGTAATTTATTGCAGTTATTTGGAAGCAATTAATTGACACATGGTGACAACTTTAATAACTGTGTAGTGGAAATTTACGTTGCTGTCGAGTTGAGACATGTACGAAATCGAATGAGCGTGTCGATTAATATTCGGCAGAGGATGTGGAATATCGGTTTCAATAGTTGAATAAACGCGACTTCGCACCACTGACGTTTTGCATGCCTCGCGTATAAAATTGCGACGGATATCGAAACGGTCGTAACAAATTTTTTAGCAAAAATATTACCGATCGCAAAATTGCAATCGTAAAACTAACTATTCAGTGAAACAGTTACGACTTTTACAAAAATGCTTCATACTCCTATAAATTCTATAACATTGGGAATACGTATTATAAGCTGATTTTTATGATCTTTATGATGGTAACATTATGAGATATCGTAAAATGAAATTTCGTTTCATTTATTCGACACGCGATTCTGCACGTTTTACGCGAATTTTATGAAAATATGTGAAATCAAAAGCTGCTTTTTTGATGTTTGAAATTTTTCTTGTCAATTTGAAAGAACATACATATTTTTTATAAAAAATTATTATTGAAATATCGTTTGAATGTTCGGGTAAATTATTTGTTAGCATTGTACGCTGTTAAAAATAAATTTTCTAAAAAGATTTTTGGCAAAATATTGTTATCACTTTTTTTTAATGGAATGTACAAATGATCATTTATCGATCACGATGGTAATTAATAAATGACCATGGTATTTTATATTAATTCTGTAGTCGTATAAAGTGATATATTTTTCAAAAAAGAAAAAAAAAAATGGAAAATATAATACATAGGAAATTAGATTTTACATAATATATATAATAAATTAATTTGCAATTATTGTAATTAAAATTTTAAACATTTGGTGAAGTTAGTAGTTATTTCACGAATTTAATCTCATTATTTTATTATCAATTTTAAATAATTCATTTTTGTGAAAGCATCCACAAATTTCAATTTTATCCGATATCTAACTATTAACTCTAAAATAAAACAGAATATACTTTTATTTAAATGAAAGTTAAATTGTCTAACAGAAGTCTTTAACGGTCATTTACTGTTTCTTTAGACATTCAGTAACATCGTTCGGAAAGCAAAACATGCTAATTACATCTTACCTTACTCATAATTTGTCCGATCTCCTCGTTACTCATAAAGTCTTTGAGATGTATTTTGATAGCGCGTAGCGAGAAGTCGAGGTCGAACTTCTTCAGGTACATTCCCCTAGCGTAGCCCAGCACGGTGTTTACGTAAGCGCGGAAATCGCGCACGTTCACCTCGAAAGGACCCGCACTACGTAGCAGATATGTCTCGCCCAGTATGCCGGATATGTTGTAATAGCCCTTCGCATAAATTTCGGGAATGGAAATGTTGATGGAGATGGTAGGACCAATCAGCGACAGTTTGGCTCGGTCGATTAAGAAAGTCGATAGCTTACTTCTAGATTCTCGATCACCAGATGCACTCTAGACAGATTTATGATGACGTTTTACATCGTGTTGTTTGCGAAGATATTGCACATTACAACCGCAGCAATTAGTGTCTGTTGTGGTTTCAAAATATAAGAAAATAAATCTCAAATATTTAGGTAAAAGATACTACTTATATTCAATAGCAAAATTGTTTGGTAAAAATATTCATGAATAAAAGAAAATATATAATAAATAAAATGTAGTATATAACAAATATATATGCAATTTCGGTAAATTTAATTTTCCGTGTTATAAAAAATAAAGAAAACTTTATATGTCACACTTTTATCACCATAAATAAGTTTGATAAAAATCTAAAAATTCAATAACAGTTTTGATCTCGAGAATCCTTGTAATGCTTTCTAAAATTGCACACTGACGCCAGAACTTCTGTTTGTCCGAAATTCTTACAATCTCTGAAATCCAGTGCACATGATTGCGTATCGATCACTTTCAATTCGACTCACTTTCCTATTTCCGGATTATCCGTGTCAATGTCAATCTCGTCGAGAGTGAACGGTTCCAGCGGAGGAATACCCAACTCCGGGATGCCATTATACATTCGCGTGCGGAATTTTTCCAAGAATCTTCTTAGTTTGAACTCGAGACCTCTCGAAGCTGCGCTGTCAACTGTCCAATTCGACGATTTATTAGCATAAACGAATAACGATTATTTGCAAACAGTAATATCGATTCGTGCCGACACTTACTGTATCCCGTAGTCACCCTGGTAGCGTTGATCAATAAGTTTCTCGGTCTCTCTACCGCGCTGGTTACTACAATCAGAAGACGAAAGAGTCCTTATTTGCATTCTCGTTTATCCCGTTTATCTTATTGCGCTTAGTTGTTATTGCCGCTGCGGAGAGCTCAGGCATTAACTCTTTCAGTGCCGCGAGGGTCGAGTTTCCTGTGTGTTACGCCACGACCAATCTCTGCTTCATTGTTTATACATACGCGAAATTACATATTGTACGAAAAGGCGAACTTCATTTAATCCCGTGTAGAGAATAATGGAGGACAAATTACTGAAGGTTCTATAAAGGCTTTGATCTAAAAACGTAATGCATGTGTTTAGAACTCTATTAATTAAACTTAACTACAATAATTGTCCCGAGATAAATTTTTTAAAGAAATAATTTTTAATTGATAGAAAAATTAAAAAAAAATAAAAAATATAAAATTTATAAAAACTACTTATTGCAAAAGTACGACACTGTACATTAAATGTAAAGAAATATGAAAAATGCGCTAGAAGTTAATTTATTTAAATTTAATTTGTTCAATACTTAATGAATGAAAATTGTGTGCGTGTGAATAGATTTTAATTGCATAGTTGAAAATTCAATGAGAACACACAGGGATCTCAGCACTGAATGATCGAAAGTAAAAGTGCGGAAGTAATCTCATGCATAACATAGAGTGGGCTCATTAATTTATCAGCACTGCGATAATTTCTATGTATAATCTCATTGATGATCTTTGATGGCTGTCATTTGCATATAAATACAATATCGTGATGCGTGGAATTTCTAATTTAGTTAGTTAGGAGAATACAAATTTGTTTCTAAATTATTCTGTGAGTTTATTTTAATTTATTATATTATTTTAAGTAACTTTGGCACTCTCTATTATCATCGCTATTATTGAATAATGTTAAAAAATACCGCTAGAGAGTGATAACGTTAATTACTTGAATATATCGTTACTGTTTTTATTTGCAATATATAAAAATTGCGTAACAACTGTTGCAAATTAGAATGGCATCGTGCGGTTATTTTCCGAGATGGAGAGAAAATGTATTATATATATATTCATTCAAATAATATTTTTATTATAATTATAATTATACAACTTTCAATTATCGAGGCATTTAAGTCATTGATTCCGTTTCCGGAATCCGTTTTTTTCTATCTTTCATCGTAAAAGTTTGTTAACAATCTTTAAATTTAACAAATAAAACGTGTAACATTTAATTCGATCGTGATTATTCGAGAGCGGTACAAACGAAGAGACTCGATATCATTTACTTAAAAAGAATTGGAAAGCAATCTAGGTCGTGAGCTTCTGTAATGCAATTACAAGCGTATCGTGCCGTAATAAAGAGAAACGTAATCTGTGTTCAATCAAACGCACTGTGCAGTGCCACGTTATTACAGATCGGATTACTGCATTACTGTATTTCTCCACCAAATGTCTATATATTTGCATCTCTGAGCTCGACTCCACGCATGTTCACGGAGTTCACGTTAACGCGAATTACGTTCTTCACCGCTCTGCGAAAGTGTAATTGCTCGCTAACCTTTTGACATGCATGTCTACTTTCCACGTACGCGTCTATGTTGCTATTTATATCATGAAATATGTATTATATCATGTACGGACAGGTTTTTACAAAATAACAGATGATACAGAACTTATATAATTATATTTTCGATCGTTCCAACAGAAAAAATAATATTGAAAAAATTTGCATAAATAATTATATAAAATATTTTTAACTAACGGTTTAGGAATCAAGAAATTTGTATTTAATTTTACAAACTAAATTAATT